TATAAGTTCTAATTTTATTAAATTTATTTATGTAATTATTATTAAATATTTTAATATTTTTAATATCAAAATATCCTTAGTTTTTCTTTTTTTTATTTTAACATGCAACATCCAAAGAAAAATGAAGTCAACATGAATAACGTCTCTGAGAGTCTTTTAGACCCAAAATCCAACTAACCTTATGGCTTTGGGCTTATTCACAACAAAAGACCAATATTAAATAGTCAAGGGCCTAATCCTAAATAGTCAAGGGCCTAATCCAAGTTTATGAACTGTTTACACTGGGCTCTAGCCCTGGATATAAGATAGCAAAGCCCATTCTAGAAAATCACCAGCAAAGGCAAAGGCCCAAAACGGTCAGTGTTAGTTAGCCATCTCTTCTCTTCCATTTCCATCAACAAACCCTCCCAAAACCCCAGCGGCGGCCACCACCCACCATCAGAAAAGGGGGAGCAGCAGAGTGCTTCGAGCGGCGACGGAATGGGCAGAAGAGGAAGACGGTCTCGCACTCAGAGGAAGCATTTTAAGGAGAGCAGAGAGAATGTTTGGAAGCGACCGAAAACCGATCCTTCCTCCGATCCCAATAACCCCAACGGCGACAACCCCTCCTGGCAGCCTTTCGCCACCCAGAACCCTGCCTTCGACGAATATTACAAGGTACATAACTATATATGGTTTTCATACATGTATATGGGCATTTTGTTTTCTTTCTACATTTAACTTTTGCTTTGGCAGGAGCAAGGGATAGTGTCACCGGAAGAGTGGGATACCTTCGTGGAAATGCTCCGGAAACCTTTGCCTGCTGCTTTCCGGATTAATTCCAGGTAAATTTCTTTGCTTTTCTTTTTGTGGTTTTAAATGACTATGCTCTTGTGATATTCTTGAGCTGAATTTAAAAACTGTCTTAAAAGCACTCTGGCTCAGTTAGAACAATGTTAAAGTCGTGCCTTGGATTTTCAATTGGGTTGGAAAATGATTTTATTCTGACTCTCTCAAGCTTAGAATTAGCTAGAGCCAGTTTGAGCCAGTTTGTAAGAGGTTGTACGTTATAAAATCTTTTGCTTAAATGTCATGGACCTATGAATTATTAAGCTTCATTTAATTATTTAAGGATGTTAGATATGTTCAGAAGCAATTTCATGCTAAATTGGGTTCCTCATTTTCCATCTTTTGTTAATTTTGCAGTGGCCAATTTTTTGAAGACATCAGGTCCATATTAGAGAATGACTTTATGAAATCTCTCCAATCTGAGGTAACTATAAGACTTTATGATGAAAGTGGGAGGCTTTAGCTATAATCTTAATCGGCTTCTGTTGGTCATTGGTAGAAACTGACACCCCTTTGTCTGTCAATCATTCTTCTCAGGCCATTGAAGGAGGTGAACTGGTGGCCATGAAACCATTGCCTTGGTACCCTGATAATCTTGCATGGCATTCAAATTTTTCCCGCATGCAGATAAGGAAAAACCAAACTCTAGAAAGGTGAGTCATTTGCATTATGACAATTTGTTCAGTAACTTTAAGCAGCTGAATCTTAGGCATAAATTGGCAGTTTTTGATGTGTTACTTCTTGGGCAGAATATGTGCTTCTAAAAAAGATGAGCTGTTGTTGCAGTGCATTAGTCCAGTTGGCTTGGTGCCAAATACATAAGTTCAGTTTTTGACATATCACCCCTGGGCCTATGTATGTAAAATACATGGGATAATAATAGGTTCATGGCTGTATATGTTGATGCCAAGCTGCCCTTTTTGTCTTCCTGCATTTCCTTTCTTTTCCTGTATCAATAATAGGTTGTGTACAGTTAAACTTCAGGCAAATATTATTCAAGCAAATGCAATTTCTCCTTTTGATCATTTTTGTGCACATTAATTACTCAAATATTTTCTGACTTGCTATTCATATATTCATTTGTCAATTCATGATATGGTGAAATTCTTTCAGGTTTCATGAGTTTTTAAAGCTAGAAAATGAGATTGGGAACATCACTAGACAAGAGGCTGTCAGCATGGTGGGCTAACTTTTTCTATTGTGATTTATGCATAATGCTTTCTTTTATCTGCTTGGAAATGTTGGTAATTTTCTTTGCATATGCACTTTCCTGTTTTCTTTTGCCCAATAATTGCTTTTGGTGTAGGTGCCTCCTCTCTTCCTAGATGTACACCCAGATCATTTTGTACTTGATAGTAAGCATCTCACGGCACTTTTATTTTTATTCTTCCATGTATTGCATGCAATATATTCATGTCAACTAGGCAATGGTTCTTTTTTGATCTAAACATTCGGGTTCTGAAATCAAATCAAGTGGCAAGCAGATTTCTTTTCGTACAGTTTCATTTTTATGGATCCCTTGTTTTTTAATAAGTTTTGAACTATGAATGGAAAACTTAGTAATTTTATAGCATTGTTTTCTGTATCTTTAATTGAAATCATGCTGTTTTTATGCTGCGCTCGCTAATTCCTGGCTGTTTTATTTACGTTTATGCAGTGTGTGCAGCACCAGGTTCAAAAACTTTTCAGTTACTTGAGATTATTCACCAGTCATCAAAGCCAGGATCACTACCTGATGGAATGGTTTGTTTGTGTTTGTTAATCTCTTGTTGTAATTTCTGCTCTCTTTACTGTAGGTTTTATTGAGGCTTTTCTCCATCTTCTCTTTATGCTGAGAGAGTATGAATCTGTAGATTTGCCTCTTTTGTTTATGAATTAGTGTTTGGCCTTATATGTTAAGAACTCTTTTGCTTCTAGTTTGGTCAATTCATTATTTTCTTCTCCTGGCTAGGTTATAGCCAATGATCTTGATGTCCAAAGGTGTAATCTTCTCATTCACCAAACAAAAAGAATGTGCACTGCCAACCTCATCGTTACAAACCATGAAGCTCAACATTTCCCTGGTTGCCGTTTGAACAAAAATTGTTCACGTGGTCCACAAATGATGAATGAATTAGAGCCTAGCATCAGTCAACTTCTCTTTGATCGCGTCCTATGTGATGTTCCTTGCAGTGGAGACGGTACCCTTCGCAAGGCTCCAGATATATGGCGCAAATGGTTGGTGCTCTTTCTCTCCTCATTTTCTTTTCTCCTACTTCTTCTATATTCTTTATCTGGGTCAATATTTTTGTTACATTTTTACAGGAATACAGGAATGGGCAATGGAATCCATATCCTGCAAGTGCAGATTGCCATGCGAGGTAGCTTTTTATTTGAAATCTTGAATTAAACTCTTGGATTTTCTAAGTCAGTGTATTTAAGTCTCTCTACGTTGTTTCATTGATTTGTTGCAGGTCTATCTCTGCTCAAAGTTGGTGGACGAATGGTTTACTCAACCTGCTCAATGAATCCAGTTGAAAATGAAGCTGTAGTTGCTGAGGTAATTTATCATTAATGTGAAAGAATATTATCATATGATGAGACTTATATAGACATCTGGTTAAATTTGTTCATTGGGATTCTTTGTAGGTTAAAGTAATTGTAGTTTCTCTATTTACTATCAATGTCCATCAAAATGTCTAGTTCTGATAATTTTGTTAGAAATTTAGAACATGTTTCAGTTTAACATGATGCCTTTATCTTTTTGTTTGCATAGCTAAGGCTGTAGGTTGTAATTGAAGTGTTAATCTCTGGTGGAAGAATACCATCAACCACTAAAAGATAATGTGATGATGCTGCATTGAGAATCTGAGATGAATTTTGTTGAAAAAAAAATTATAATAAGAACAAACCATATCAAAACCAATTGATTGGCCAAGACTAATGTACCCAATCTATAAGAGTAATGCTATTTAGGCCTAATAGAACAGACTGAATATTGGCCTAAATGCCACATGACATCAAAGGAGTGGATGCATACCAAATCATGGGGATCTGCCAAATAAGAAGAGCCTAGTAGAAACTTTTGGCTTCTCAGTAACATTTTTCAATCTATTATCTTTGGTTGAATGCTGAATTGATAATGAGAGTTTGGTCATTTAAGCTTACTGGCATGAATCTTTGGCAAGAGGGTCTGACAACAAATTCATTCCACAAAATGGTGTAACTCATAAGAAACAATATTGTCAAACTGGTTAGTGCGTTGCTGCTTGCATCAAGCTTTCACTTGTCATAACTGATCACTGATGTGATGTTCCATTTAAAACTTTTAATTGCACATTTGAGCTTTATAGTTTGGGATTCATATTTTGTAGGAATTCATTGGTATGTTTTCATTCTTATTTAATTACTGATCCAGTTGTGAGCCACTGATTGTGTCTCTTTCTGGTTTATTAATTTCTTTATTCTTTTGTTCTTTGATTGATTTCAAATAATTGGGTTTGCTTTCACTACACCATTATGAACTGGCTATGTGACCTTTGCTTTGCTTGTGTATTTTTCCCTATTCTGCTCCTTTTTTTTTCTTTTTCTTTTTTTTTTTCAGTTCTCATTTTTTGTCTTTTAAAATTCCTTTTCTTTTGATCCTGTATCTTATTTTCTTAAGATTCTACGGAGATGTGGAGGGTCTGTGGAACTGGTTGATGTCTCTGGTGAGCTTCCTCAACTACTTCGACGGCCAGGTCTTAGAAAATGGAAGGTTAGTTTCCAGTTTCCACTTCTGCAAGATATCGATAATTCTGTTTAGAATCATTTCTGCAATTTGATGGCTTCATCAATATATATTATTGGATTTCTATCTATTCAAAATGATGGAATGATCAGAAAAACAATGCATTGTGTGTTGAATGATTGTGTAGAACTTTAATTTTAATGTTCATATTTTTGTTTTTGGCCAAAAAAATTTGCTATTTTTGTTATCAACGATTTTTATAAGCTTGCCGTTTTATCTTCCATTTGAATGAATAATCAAATACCTTTGTTCCAATCAGAATTTAGTTTTAGGCAAATGTATTTGAAACTGTGATAGACTACTATGTCCAGACTGATTAATTTGGGAATTGAAATTCTAAGAATTAAAATAATATTATTATTATTAATTATTATTATTATTATTATTTATTATTATTATTATTATTATTATTATTATTATCATTATTATTTTCCTAATTGGGAGAAGCTGCAAAAATAGTCTCTCTGAGAATGTTATGCACATTTTATCATGAACATGAGATGCAGTGAATTTTATGATGGCATCCTTATTATGGATGTGATATACAGTTCCTCAAGTTGATGATAATTATATTGGTCATGGGCAGCTAATCTGTATGATTCAATTTGTCTGGTTTGACTAAATCTGGTGGTCAGGGACTCAGTGATATGTTTAAATATGGTTCAAACTGTGTTTGGACATGGAAAATGACGATCTAAAGCCTTCTAAGACCAATATAATTCTACTTCCAACTACCAGAAATGCAGTGGATGCTATTCCAGTTAAGAAAGTTTTTGAGCATTTTAGTTATATTATATTTTTTGTCCCTGTATATCAGGTACGTGATAGGGGAGTTTGGTTAGCTTCCTACAAGGATGTTCCCAAATTCCGAAGAAGTGCCATAGTCGCCAGCATGTTTCCTTCTGGCAGAAGTTATGTGGACACAGCTGACAGAATCCAGAAGTGTGAGAATGGTGGAACAGTACATCCTGAAAATGAAAGCCAACCAGCAGAAAATCCTAGAACATCAACTGATGATTTGGAGGAGGAAGTTTCTGATCTCCCACTAGAACACTGCATTAGGATGGTTCCTCATGATCAGAACACTGGAGCCTTTTTCATTGCTGTCCTCCACAAACTTTCCCCCTTGCCAGGTAATTGCATGGGTCCTCATTTTTCTTGATAATCAAACATAATTGAGTGAAGGTGCAGAAATTTTCAGGCCAAATTTGGGGGCCAAAATATCTGGGCCCTTGCTTTGGGAGAGGCCACACATCATTGGGGTAGGGCCTGCCAAGAACAAGGGGCCAGATTTTTCAGCTGCAAAAGTCCAGCTGAAAATTTGGCCCCTCAATCATTTTGCTAATTGAGTTATTAGGCATGCTTTCACCTTACAAGATTTGATTCTTTTTTAATGCTTTTTCTTTTTTGGCCCACTCATGTTTTCTTCTCATCTGTGTAAGCACCTTGCATATTATATGCAATTTGTGAACTGCATCATCTGTATATCAATTAAGATATGCAATTTGCTTCCTTAGTTTATCATTTTTAAAATTTTTGCTGCTCTTTTCTTTTCAAGGCATTTACTCTTTTTTTTTTTTTGGTAATATTTCCTGTAGCGACTCAGGACAAATCTATTAATGCGCAAGAGAATCAGTCCACTGGAAATGATGAACTGCTTGAAAATAAGCACGTTATTGAAAATACAAAACTTGATTCAGTGGATGGAACAGACGAGATGATATTGGAAGCAGCTTCAGAGGCTGACTTGGTTGATGATGAACTAGATGGAGCTACCTTGGAACCCAAGCCTTCAGAAGCTGCTCAGGAGCCTGCTGATAATAAAACTGACTTGGCAAAATCTGTAGGGAAGAGAAAGTTGCAGATTCAAGGCAAGTGGAGAGGGGTTGATCCAGTTGTTTTCTTCAAAGATGAAACTATTATTAACAGCATTAAGACATTTTATGGTATTGATGAAGCCTTCCCATTCAGTGGCCACCTTGTCACAAGAAACAATGAAACTAACCATGTGAAGAGAATTTACTATATTTCGAAATCAGTCAAGGATGTTCTTGAACTCAATTTCAAAGTCGGCCAGCAACTAAAGATAACTTCCATTGGCCTGAAGATGTTTGTGAGTATATCTGTACTCCTACTTTACTTCCAAATTCCCATGGTTTCCTTTCTTTTTTGACACTAATCTTTGTTGGAAAATAGGAACGCCAATCATCAAGAGAAGGCACCTCTGCTCCATGCTTATTCCGGATATCATCAGAAGGGTTGCCAGTGATTCTTCCATATGTTAGAAAACAAATTCTATTTGCAGCTCCTTTAGACTTCAAACATCTTTTGCAGTATAAAGCAGTCAAATTTGCCGACTTTGTTGACGCTGAGTTTGGTCAGAAGGCAGCAAACCTAATGTTGGGTTGCTGTATTATAGTTTTGAGAGATGGTAAGTTAACTCACACAATGTGTGTGTCAAAATAGATCACTATATGCTTGTATCCTTACCTTAACCATACTCCTGCAGATAGCAAAACGGTGTCAGATCCAATCCAAGTGGATGGATCCACCATAGCCATTGGCTGCTGGAAGGGTAGAGGCAGTTTGAGTGTGATGGTGACTGCAATCGATTGCCAGGAATTACTAGAAAGACTCGCAACACGTATGGAGAGTGAAGATGCAACTCCAACTCCCAAAAATAATGTTGAACCAGAGCAAGCAGAGGATGTTAATGGTATTGAAAAGGACACCACACCAGCCACTGATAACTGAAAAACTTTTATGAGCAAATCATGCTTGTACTTTTTTACTCTTACTAATTAAGTTACCTTGTCAACCAAACACAGTTGCAGTGGATATGGCAGAACATTAAGGTTTGACATATACCTGATTTTTAAGATATAATGTGATTTTTTATTCGATGATCTGTTGTGAAATTTTATTGCTGTAATACATAAATGCAATTTTGAAAATGAATTACAGTTTTTGTAAGGTTTCTTCTTTAAGATGTTTGTAGACTTGCAACAGTGCAGATTTAATGCTAGTCTAATTTCTAAAATGTGTTTTCGTACATGGATTGCAAAAAACATAGTGCATCAGAAGTATCATTAATTAATCATCTCTGTATTAATTAATTCAGTCAAAATATTTTGATACTTTCACCATTTAAAAGCTGTAAACTTTTTACAGTCTTGCACTGAAAAACCAAGGATTATGTTGTAAAACATGGTTGAAAATGACCGACCCAACGCAAACATATGTTGTATGTAATTAGGGATAGTGTGTACCTTCACCAGCTTGAGATAATTTCTCACATTAATCTGGTACCTTTAAAGAAATTAATTTTTTTTGAGTATTCTGAATGCTTTGGCCTAAACTATTAGGTCTGAACAGCATTTTTCTAGTAAAAAGATTAATTAATACTATTTTGTATTCATTTTCAAGAAGTTAAAAATGGAAAAACAAAACACATTGCTGTCTTGGAATATCAAGAATTAGAGACAATACCCGATATTTGATTAACAAACACAATCTGTTCTTCTATTCACCCACCTCAAAACATGTAATTGATTATCTGCACATGCAAATTAGTCTAGTGCAATGAAAATATACAAACAGATATGCCACACCTCTAAAAAAATTGCTATAAAGAATGTGGAACAGAGAACTGACAATTGAAGACAAACCCAGATGGATCAAAATGATGTACAACACGTCCTCTTAGCGGGAATTTCTTGCGCAGGGCCCGGAACGACGATCTTCTTGCCTGCCAAGGATCCAGGGTTGCCATTGCTTTGATTCTCACCAGCAACTAGATTCTTCTTGTTCACAATATTGAAGATCTCTGTTAACACAGTCAAGAAAGCAGTCTCGACATTAGTTGCTTCCAGAGCGGAGGTCTCCAAGAAAAACAATCCTTCCTTCTCAGCAAATTCTTTGGCATCCTCTGTTGGGACCGCTCGCTGGTTTTCAAGATCACATTTGTTACCAATCAGAATTATAACAATGTTCTTGTCAGCATGGCCGCGAAGCTCTTCTAACCAACGAGGAATGTGCTCAAAGGTCTGCGGCTTAGTTATATCATAAACCAACATTGCTCCAACAGCACCCCTATAATAAGCACTTGTAACAGCTCTATATCTGTTCAATGCACCACACAAGAAAAAATTATATATATCTGCAGCTGATTAGATAGAAATTAAGAGAAATGATTTACAACAATCTTGAACACACAAAATTATTCAATATATTCAAAGATTTAGATCTTCAACTAGAACTATGAACAAGAAAATGAAGGAATTATGGGCCTAAAATGAACCGTATTTTCAATCCCAATAGTTAAGTAGCTTATTAATCTTCACTAATAAATAAAAAATGTAAAGACCCGAATCCACATCGGACCAGCAGTGAAATGTAAGTGTTATAACCAACCAGTACTAACAACTAGAGGTTAGGTATGGTTGTTGGCCAGTCGAGACTTACGGAGTGTTTCACAGCAGAGATCATATTCTACGTGACTAACATTCAACAGTTTGAGATCAATCATCCATGTTCTCTGAATCTATTCATCATCTTAAACAAATTTGAACTCACAAAAACGATATTACGATTCACAGATCACAACAGAAAATGGTAAAGAAACCGCCTACAAGCAGATCGGATACACTAACACAACAACAATAAAAAAAAATGGTGCAAGCTGAAAGTTCAAGTTAGGAGCAGCGTAAATACCGTTCTTGGCCGGCGGTATCCCAGATCTGAGCCTTGACACTCTTGTGCTCGATGACGAGAGTCCGTGTCTGGAACTCGACTCCGATTGTGGCCTTTGAGTCCAAGCTGAACTCGTTCCGGGCAAACCGAGCCAGTATCTGCGACTTTCCGACCGCCGAGTCGCCAATCAGCACCACCTTGAAGACGTAATCTATCTTCTGGTTGGAATCCCCGTATCCGCTCATCTCCGGTTACCACAATCCTTGACCCTGCTTCTGCTAGATTCTAATTTCAATTCAACCCCTCAAATATAGCGAGCTGTGCCCAGCCTGCGCATAAAAGGTTGTCGCGATTATTATTAGATGAATCTACTAGCCATAATGCGGAAGGGGATGAATATGGAGGTGATGATTTTAGGGTGGGGCGAGGTGTTGTCCAATGAGAAACGGACGCGCGGTGTTATGGTGACGGTTGCATTGGATTAGATTGAGTGGGAGGACAGCTGTAGTGCAAAGTATTGTAAATGATTTAAATGTTCAATAATGTATACAGCGATAATAAATTATAACTATCAATTATTTGTTGGTTAGGATAGGGAGAATTTGATTTTTTTTAAATAAAATTTTAAATTTGAATTTTATGAATGAAGAAATAAGTATTAAAAGAGTTTTTTTAAAATGAAATTTGATGTAATTTAATTTTAAATTTTAAATAAACTTTTGAATTTAAATTTCATAAATGAAAAAATAAGTGTTAAAAGAATTTTTTTAAATGATAAAT